CAACCGCCACGGAGAGTGCCCGATGCACGGGCCGCTGCACTCGCTGCGCCGGCTGGTGAGCACCGGCAGCGCCGCGGCCGCGCCCCCGCCCGAGATGCCCGAGTGGCTGCGAGACCTGCCGCGGGAGGTGTGCCTGTGCACCAGCTCCGTGCCCGGCCTGGCCTACGGCATCTGCGCGGCGCAGAGGATCCAGCAGGGCACCTGGATCGGGCCCTTCCAGGGCGTCCTCCTGCCCCCGGAGAAGGTGCAGGCGGGCGCCGTGAGGAACACGCAGCACCTCTGGGAGGTGAGTCCCGCGCCGCCCGCACCTGCGGAGAGCCTGGCCCCGAGGGCGGCCTCCCTTGTTTCCTAGAGGGTAACTCATGGCGGAGACTAGATCTCTCTGGTCGTGCAAATACCTGAGGTCTGCACCACCTGCAGTAAAGAGGTGCGGAGCCCCACCTGACGCAAAGGCAACCCAGCCAGGAAGGTCAGGGCCCGCAGGCTCTGGAGGTGGAATCACCTTAAGGAGCCTCTATTCCAGCTGAGCTGGATTTCACCTTTGATTTCCTGGGTTCTTGAAAGAAAGAGAAACCAGCTGAGGCGATGGAGCAGAGAGCTCGGGCTCTGGGGGTGTGAGCTAGGTGGACTTTCTGTCCTGTTCTGAGCTCCTCCGATGTGTTCTTGTGAGCCAGGCAAGAAGGAACATAAGCATAAATAGGAGAGAGTCAGGCTCATTTTGTCAGATAAAAACACTGAATCTGAGAGAACGCAACATGTTCTGTTCGTAACTTCCAAAGTTCCCGCAGTAAGCCAACTATAGTACTGCAGATCAGAAATCACAAATTCCGGTGCTTTGTAGCACAGCGATGCAGTCTTCAAGAAGACAGGAAATCAGAACATAGGGAAACTTTGAGCATGTTGGTATAACTCAATTCATGACAGTGCTTCAACAGCACAGTCTTACCTATTATTTAAAAATAAACAATCTCTTTGAAAAACGTTAACCTGAGCTTTCTCTCAAAGCGTCATGGTTGATGATTGAGGTCCACTCCTGAAGAGACAACCCTTTGCCTGTAGGTAATCCCCCGGCTAATTAGCCACCACTCACCCATGGAGTTATTTATGAAATACAAGGTGCTAGAAGTCTTCTTACCCCTAAGGGCAGTAAGTAAGTATGACTGAGGCCAGGCAATGTAATGGAGTTGGACTAGTCTGAAAAGAAAGTTTCTGAAATGCCAGCAGCCAAGTTGGCATGGACCTTAGGGCTCCATTAATGGGTCATTTCTGCAGCAGCTTGCCCCTCACACCTTGGCTCAGTGGCCTGTCAAGATGATTATTTTCACTGTGAGCTGCCTCATGGTCACTAACTAAAACTCATGGGACTCAATACTCCACTCATATTTTTGCTGAGCACTCATTCTATGCACTATGTTAGGCCCTAGAGATACAGTGTTGTGAAAAACAGACCTGGTCTCCAGAACCCTTACATGGCTGTTGGCAATGGGGTGTTGAGGCCTGTGTCCCGAAGCCTCCTTTGATGGGGGAGGAGCTCAGTGTGTGTGAACTCACAGCCCAGCAGCCCAATGACTACACAGGGGATATGGGCTACAGATCCTACATTTGCTGGTGCCCTGTGCCCAGTTCCCAGGGTCATTTCACTCCTAAAGTATTGTTGGAAAATTATACATTTTTAGTCTTTCTGGATAGGATTCTTGAATGGGGGGGGGG